AGTTGAGTATCAAAAGCAAGTAAAATAATAAAAATGTAAATGAGTGGATACGAATGGATTAGTTCAAGACAATCATATTCAATGCATTGTGATTTAAAAATTAAAAAAACAGTTTTGCATACAAGAAATTACTGAACAAAACAAGAAAGATTGCAAATGAAACTAGAAATTGCCATGTTTATGAGGCCTCTTCAGGCTTAACTTATTTGAGGAGTCTCTCTTTATAGTCTTGGAATCTGTCTGAGTAGGGAACTTCAGTTTATGTGCAGACCACTCAGAGTGAATGTGATTGCATTTGCATCAAGGAGGTCCTTAATATTGTAATTCAATGCCATATAATTCTCGATTGTGACCTGGGGTCCCTGAATGGAATTCACAATAAGCATTGGCATCATAACCCTGATGGAGAGAATCAGGAGGAGGCATGAACTCTCTTTTATCAACTAATTCATAAGGAAGCATGAGAGGAAGTAGTTAACTGTAAGGCATAAGAGTCGCATCCAACTTTCTTTCTGGCTTCCTTTGCTTCTGTTGTTTCTGCTGAGTGTAATTTTATCATTGACGTTGATTCGGAAATTGATTATTTTTTGGCACTTGATTCCTCTGACCTGGATGAGGTATAGGCAATGGTTGCAAGCGAGGAGGTTCTGGAAACCAAGGTTGCACTGGATAGACACGAGGTAACTCCTGATCTGAAGTGAGACTTGATTAATAGGAAGAACAACAATTGGTGTGTGATTGCCTTCCTTCTTCAATAGTGTTTGTAGGACTTCCGTCATCACCCCTATTTGAGTCTTCATTTGGTTGAATTCTGCTTTCAATAATTCCTATTCACGTTGAGGTTCCTCCCTATTTTTAGACCCTCCATTAGTAGAAGAGGAGGGAGCAGTGGCAATGGAAATCTTAGCAACATTCTGCCTGAGTTCCTTTGTCCTTGAATAACAACATGGAGAGTCTCGAGAAGCTGATTCATCCTTTCACCCATAATGTCCATGTCCTAACGGAGAGCATTTTGATTTTGTTCCAAGAGACCCATAAGTCTTCGCTGGTTGCTTCTTGTATGGTAGGGATGTAAGGAAGTCTTCTTTGTTGTTCATTGAAGTCGTCTAATTGAAAAAGGACTCTAATAAGTTTTTGTTGGGAATAATGAATGCATGATAATATGAATGCGTGTTCATCTTCTTTCTGAGGAAATTCAAAGACTCATCTATCCATAAGTAACTTTTAACAATTTTTTTGAAGAGCTCAACCAGTAAGACTTGTCTTTGGAATTCCTTAGATATGAGATGCATATACATGATGGTATGATGTCATGGTATGCTATGACATGGGATCTCAGCTCCACATATTCTGGATAACCACTGTATAGTCCTTTGCATAAACTTAAAGTAACAGGATCAAATGTTCGACGTCACAAGCATGGAGTCAAGGTAACCACCCGTAAGGTATGTACTAAGGGTTTATCGCCTTCCGAACAAGGTTCTAGGGAAATCTCAGAGTCTACGTTCTTCCTTTGGATATTACCAATGCCCAATTACTCGGTAATTAGTAATATTTGCAGGAAACACTCGTCTGAGTGCAACATCTCCTGACAACTACTTCCAGATTACTCCGTAATAGTCTCCGCACTACACCTAAAAAATCCAGAATAGGTTAAGGGTTCTACGACTCTCAGCTTCTCTGGCTCCCAGGTCGAAAGCAGCAATGTCTTCTGGATTAATCGGTAAACAAATACTACAGTCAAAGGGGCCTCCACTGAGGGGGGGATCTCATGCCTCCTTCTTCGGAATTACTAACTTAAAGTTAACATGACTATATCGCCCGTCATAATCCTAAATGTAACCCCAAGTCCGGGTATAGGACTTATCAAATGAAATCACTCACCCCAACATCACAGAAGAGACAACATATTCAGAATTAAAGCGGTAAAGCAAATAGAGTAGACAAATAAACAAATAAACACCCAAAGAAGCGGTAAAGCAACTAGAGTAAACAAATAAACACCCAAAGAAGCAAGCAAACAAAATTAGGATTCACTCGCATAGGGTCCCCAGCGGAGTCGCCAGCTGAAGCGACCGACAAAAAACACACAGAGCCGTCACCGAACTTTATTTGTCCCGAAGGAAGGGGAAATATTGAGAAAATCCCAAGAGGATGGATAAGATAGTCTTGCAACCAAAAGAGAGGGTATGGAAGTCGATCATGTGAGGGGAAGGAATTATCATCCCTCACTTCATTGTACTCAACGGGATCTATTTCGATTGTTTGTTTCTAAGGGTGCATCTATCTAAAACTATACTTGCTAAGGGAAATTAAATGGTTTTAATTAGTGCGTTCATGAGGGTCTCGTAAACCTTTGCCTACGTATCCCGTGAAGGAATCAGAACACTGTAGTTCTTCTATAAAATGTTGGTTTATTGGTGTTTTTTAGTGGGCGATGTTAACACATGTATTCTAGCAATGGACATGGCCTGTATCACGGTAGATTAGAGATAACATGCCCTTTTGAAGAAATCTTTGATTTGTTGAATGTTTTTGTTAAGTGTGAAATGAGTTTGAATAATGATTAAGTGTTTTTTTTGGGTATTTTGATTTAAGAAAAGAACATTTTAATTAGAAATGATGTAATGCAAAAGAAAAGTCTAAGGAAAGCTAAAACCCTAATATGATCATGACAAGATATAGTTGAAGTTGAGTTTATGTAACTGATTCTAACCTAAAGATGTTATCATGCTTAAGTCTATCCTAAAATTCTATTCAACTCAAAAACAATAAATAAAAAATTAGCCGCTTCATAGAATCACTTAAGGGAACATGTTATCAAGATTTAACCAAGCAATCAAACAAACCAAAAATAACAGAAATACAAAGCTAATATATATTTTTGTGTGATTTTTATCAAGTAAAGAAATGAAATGTAACTACCTAATTAATTAAAGGTGTTGACTTAAACAAAAAAATAAGATTCACAGAATTACTAAATTAATTCTAAAACTAAATCTAATCAAAAAAATACATGATTATTTAATTGATTTTAAAAGAAAATTAAACTAAGTAGTTAAAATAATAAAGCTAAGAAATTTATACAAAATAAATAAGGATAAACTACATAAAACGTAGGGTGCAAAATGAGAATTTCGGGTCGAGCTTTCTGGGGAATTTGCAAGCAGGCCCAAGATACACTATAAAACATGTTAAGAACAAACATTGCTCGGGCGAACTGGGTTGACCCAGATCCCGAGCCAACTCCTACTAACCAAAAAAAACATACGGGTTGGAAACCCTAGTAACATCAAACCAATGCCTCAAATTCTCAAAATAGTTTCCCATGTTCTCTACCTCACGGTTTGTTTTACAACCTCAACACAAAACAAAAGCGACAACACTTCTCTCCGCAAATACCCCCCTCCGCTGGCATGACTGAAAGATAACAAATAATATCACTCTCAGCTTGCTCTCTCGATACACTTCTTTCATCTACTTAATGGCTCAAGGTTTTTGGAAACAAAAGTAAGTTTACTTCGTGAGTTTAATTCTACTTCTTCGATCTCAGTCTACTTCTTCTTCGTAAGACTTTCGATTTTGTGGTGTTGTTGGTTTCGTTTGTTGTGTATGAATTTACGTGGAATTGTGTTGCAGGTACGATTTAGGAGGGAATCCGACTCAACCATATTTGGAGCTTGTTTACGTCAAGAACAAACCCTCGAAGGTGGATGAGCGATTTAAGCATTGAGAAAGAGTTGATGAACCTAATTCTTCGTCTTAGTTCGAAAAGGCAACCGGTTATGTCGTTGTTGTAGCTCAAAGTTGAGCTCAGAGGTGGTTCACGATTGGAACTCCTCTTGAGTAGCTGAGCAAAATGGTAAGCAAAAGACTTGTGGAAAACTCTCTTTCTATGGTTAAAGAGCAGTGACGAAAAATAAAGCAGTTCAAACAACAATCATGTTCACACATTAATCATCAGCTGCATGACAAAGATAATCAGACTGACATAGCAGCTGTCAACAACAAACTAGCTACAATAAAATCAAATGTGAGAGATCAAATTACCTACAGCGAGGAGAATTTCGCCAGATTATTCATATAGGTTCGGTTTCTTTATTTTGTCTTTGCTTTTACTCTTTGATTCTTCTACTCCATCTCTTTATTTATCTTCTTCGATTGTTGATATGTTGTATGCTTCTGTATGAGTTTGTAGTGTTGTTAGTGTTGGTTGTGTTGTAATGTGGTAGGTTTGTAAGTTTTTATTCGGCTTTGTAGTGCGGGTTTTGAAAGTTTTTTAATTGAAGGTGACGATTTGGTTCTTGTGTCGAGTTTGTGTGGTCTGCATCAAATGAAATGAAGTTATAATTTTAGTTGATGGTGGAGAGGATTAAGGTCAACATAGTAAGGTTTTATGGGTATGAGGTTCTGAGTTATGAGGTTATTGCAGTGGTTTTTCTGGTGAAGTATGGAGTTATGATATAATTTTGAGTAATCTTCTTTATTAATTTTTTCTCTAGTTTTTGCTGTGAGTAGTTGTATGTAGAGTTGTTTCTTATAGTGAATGAGGATAGGTTTTGGGGGAAAATTTGATAAGTTTTGAACAATTTTGTAGGCTAATTTGTTGCTTTCTTGGTGCAGTTTTGTGTGATCTGATTTTATGCAATTCTTGGCTCTCTTAGTGCAGCTTTGGGACAGCAATAACACAGGTTATGCAAGGCTGGATTTTGGAGGTTTATGGCAGCAGTAGCAGGCTGTTTTGGACATGTATTAAAACTGGTTTGAGACAACATTATTTTGTTTGTTTTTTACTATTTAGCAGTGTGATGTTGGGCTAGTTTTAAATTGTTTTTATGCAAGATGGGGACAAGGCATTTGGGGCAGCAGTTATGTGCATAAGTTTTGTGGATAGTTTTCTTTCAGTTTTGGCTTTTTATCCAATTTGATGCAAGTTTTCAGAGTTGTAGAACAAATATGCATAGCATTTTCTGGAAAATGTTGGTTGCAGTTTTAATACCATGACATGGCTTCATTGCAGCAGGTTTTGGATAGTATTGCAAGATGTTTTCGCAGGGATATTTTTTTCTGGTTTTGACTATGGTGATAGAAGGTTTTATGGTAGGCTGGACAAAGGGTGTAAAACGTTTTGGTTTGTGTTGAGAACAAGTATGTATATGAGCAACAACGCTGGTTTTGGCTATAGCAGAATTTGGAAGTGTTTGGCATGTCTTTATGATGCAAGGTTTGAAGTAACAAAATGGAGAAGGCCTGAAGAACAAGCTTAAAACAAAGCTTTAGGATAGGTGACTCATAAATCAACAGGCTTGGTTAAGAACTTCCTATTTTTCTTATTCTCTTTTAATTATTGTAGTAGCTCTTGTAATCTTGTAATAACTTGTATATTAACAACAACTTGTACAAATCTCGATGTTTGATGAAATTTTCCTTCTCTGAACCTGTGTCTTTTCTTTGTCTCAATTAAGTGCCTCTTTGGAATAATACTTGATCCTAAGCGTATCATGAACACCACCAAATCTTTGAGGTTCTTGATCAAAATGTAACAGGGCCACTGTATATGTCTTGATTGTAATCTTCTCACATGATAGCTTTTGTGCCAACCTTGTAATTTTGTAACGAATGATGATTCCAAAGAATGAAATAGTGCGAAGATACTTGGAACTCTAAAATGAATCTTAATGAATTCTAATGCTTGTAATCGAATGAGCATTGATGGAATGTGATCAATATGGCCATGGATGAAATTTGACAATATTCGAATACAACTATGATTCTTGAATTCTGATATTGCTTTCTTCAAAGTTAAAAGTTTATTTCTTCCAATCTTTTATAAGCTTGCACTATTGGTCATTGTCACCAATGATAAAAAGAGAGAATTAAACTTAAACTTTTGCCTAAAACTTCATAGTCGTTGAATTCAAATCAAACACTCATATGTCATGCTTGATCAATAAAACCTACTCTCATGATTGAATCTCAAGCTATGCTACCTTGCAAACCAAACCTCAATTAATAAAGAATATGCTAAAGAAAACCTAATTTAACTGCTTCTTGAAGCCTCTTGACGAAATACTGATATTAAGATGTTAAAAAAAGCCCAAGCCTTAGCTCATGCTTGATGATTTCTCAAGAAGAAACTTAGTTAGAGTACAATAGCTAAAAACCTGATCTTTGATCTAACATTTGGAAGTAAACCCTAATATAAGATCCTAAAGCCAGCCTTGATGTTGAGAAAAGGAGAGTGACCTTTGTAGCTTGAAAATAAAGAAATTCATGATAGTCAAGTTTCCAAATACTAATTCGTAACCCACTACTCGAAGAAGAACCAGAGAAATCAGGCTTGTTGATGTAGGAACCTCAAACCAAAATTAAACCACGGATGGCACAACCACTGATGCTTTGAACCACTGGTTTCTTGAATGAAGGAATGATATGCAAATGACCTAGAGAAAATGATGCAAATGAAATGCAAAGCCTAAGCTAGATAAAAGAGAAAAGGTAGGAAAAATATGGGTTATGACAATCATGTTGAACATCTAAAGATTGTGCTATCTATGTTGAAAGAGAAGCAGTTGTATGCTAAATTTTCTATGTGTGAGTTTTGGTTGAAGGAAGTGAGTTTCGTTGATCATGTGATATCGAGAGGTGGTACTGTTGTTGATCCATAGAAGATTGAGGTTGTGTCTCAATGGGAAGCTCTGAAATCTATTTCTAAAATTAGAAGTTTTCTTTGTTTAGAGGGTTATTATCGGAAGTTTATTGAAGCATTTTTCAAGTTAGCTTTGTTATTGAAGCAATTGACTAGTGTTGCACCCAAATATTTTCCCTGTTCATTCTAACCCTAATTGACTTATACTTCATCATCATAAGCATACATACATGTCATTGGGTCTATACTCAGGAAATCAAGGTTTTTCTCCATGAACAGAACTGCGAAAAACGATTGTTCTGTTAAGCAGTGTTATAAAGCAAAACTCAGGGTTTTCGAAGTTTGAATGTACTATGAATGGTTTCAAAGCTATCCAATCATGGATTTATCATGTCATCATCATATCAAACTCTTATGTGTCTTGACACACTTTGAGTTGCACAGAAAGCCAAGCATTTCAATAAATTGGAGACAGTGTAGACATAAATTCAGTATCTTGCGATTCGAGTTCAAAATTTCATAACTTGAGACCGAAAAATGGTTTGGGAATGGTTCTTCAGTCTTTAGAACCTTCTTGAGATCTTCTCCAATTCATTTGTTCAGATCAAAGGCTAATTTTGTGAGGAAGATCTTAAAAAGCGCAAAATACCTGAAATCATGTTATATAGTGGATTTGCTAGTTCAGTGGTTTTCATATGCTTAAAAATTCAAAACTTATGACCGGAAAATCATCTTTGAGTGTCTCTTGGAATTTTTGAACTGTCTTGTTATTTTCTTCAATTTTCGTGTTTGGCGTGGAAGCCGATTCGGTGTGGAAGATCCCCAGACTGGTACCATGAAATAGTGTGTTAAACCGCTGTTTATCGGGGGTTCAAAAATTAATAACTTTTTCCCGATTCGACGTTTTTGATTGGTTTTTTGGGTGTAAAATTTGTCTTGACATTATCCTCAATTTGTATGTTTAGGTCAGAAGTTAATTCTCTGAAGAAGATCTCTGAAAGTGCGAATTACCTGAGAAAATTGCACCCCGAAATGGTTTCTTACTGGACTGTTTCTCGATATTACAAAATTCATACCTTTCTCAATTTTTATCGGTTTAGGACAATTCTCAAAGTGTGATATCACAAAAAAATTTAGCTACAACTTTGCTTCAATTCCCCAGTTCAGATTCTGCTCTAAAGGCTTCAGTTTGTGGCTCGCTTCCTAAAGTGTGCATGAAAATAAGCTAAAATTTCAATGCAGCCAAAAAAGTACATTGTTTCTCACCATTTGAAAAATCATAACTCTCTCGATTTTTTTCATATCAGGGAGATTCTTTCGGTACGACGTCACAAATTTTGTTATCGACGATTTTGTTTCAGGTTTCGCGTCAGGATTCTGCACCAAAAGTCATGAGCTTGTGGTTTGTTTGTCGAACAGTATACAAAATAAGCTGGAAAAATTTGCACGACGAATTTTAACACTGAGTTCTCTCCTTTCTAAGCATCATAAATAACTCAATTTTTATCATATTATGGCGATTCTTTTGGCACTGCATCACAAATTTTATCATCGATGATTTGGTTTCAGGTTTCACGTCAGGATTATGCACCAAATATCATGAGTTTATGGTTTGTTTCTCAAGACTTAAGGCATTTTGTATATATTTTTTCAACTCAATTTCTAAAGGGGCTTTTTTCCATTTAACCCAAAAATTACTCAAATTCAAACTCTCTCTTTCAAGAAACTCTCCCTCCAAGAACTCAAAAGAAGAAGCTTCTCACTCTTCCTCTCTCCCTCACTCGCCGAAATTGAACTCCCTCCTCCCTCTCTGCCGCGCGCCACGAACAGCTAGTCGCTATCTTCACCGTCCCGCGCAAAGCACGTCACTCTCCTCCTGTTTCCTTTCTTCTCTGTTTCGACCTCCTTCCTCGGTGCTAATCCCTCTGTCTCTGCCTCTCCTTGCTCCGAGCTTGCTTCTTTGCTTTGATTCAACATTTTTCAACTCCGATCCGATAACTTTTTGATCTTTACAACTTGATAATTAATGTTCAAATCGATTGTTAAATTCTTAAGTTAATTAACTGTTGAATTGAGGAATTGATCAATTTGTTCATGAATTGAGTTCTATATCTTGAATTATTTTGACATTGATGATGAACAAATGTGGAGTTGGATGAATTTATGTTGATTTGTCGTGGATCATGAATTGTGAATGCATCTTGATATTGATTTGTGATTATAATTCTTTGATTGTGGATTTGTGTTGAGAATTAATTTTGACTTCATGTGTTAACGCGATTTTGAATCGACTTGGTGATGAATTAATTTGTTCGATGTGGAAAACCTTGAATCTGATAAATTGTGTTAACACTTAAATAATTTTTGTTAGGCTTGGAATCAACACTCTAATGTGGATTTAATTGTTGTGCAATTTATTTACAATTTCCTAGAAATATTATTTGAATCAGTAAGTACTTTTATGCATCCGTTTGTGAGTTTAGAAATCAACTTTGATCGATACCAATTCATGTACCTGTTGCTTCCCCGGAAGTACCAATGCCTTGCAAGTTGCATTTCAAATGTGGTTTAATGCATTATTGAACGTAATTTTACATTTGTGGATGCTTGATATTGAGTTTTGGTGGTTTCGACGCGTTTTTTCGAGTAAACGTGTGTTACGGTATAATGTTGTCAGAAATTCATAAGTATGTCGTAAACTTGGATTTAATTGTTGCAATTTGCATATTTGGTTTGAACTTAGTATTTTCTTGACATTTGTGGTGGTTTCTATTGATTTTAAACCAATATTTTGAAGTATCTCATGAATCAAAAACATGCAGCTCGAAGTTTAATTTCACATATACATTATGCTTTAATTCTAAATTGATGTGTGTGTGTGTTCATAATTGAGCATTCAATGAACATTGATGATGAGTTTTATTGGTTCCGACGCGATTTTATGATTAATTTCATGTTCAGACTTAGTGTTGCCTGGATTTGTAAGTAAGCCTTAAAGCATGTATTTATTGTTGGATAAAACATGAGTGGACTTGCCTTGGTTTATATTTGATATGTATGTGAAGATTGGTGGTTTTTAAACTGACTTTTTGTGCACTTCATATAGTGAAACAATGTTGTCCGGATATGCTAAATGCATGTACGTTGTGATTTGATTATCATTTGATGCATACTTGATTGTATTTGGGCACTTGTAAGACATCTATGATGAATTTTGTTATTTTTTATTTGAGTTTTTGAGCCATTTTATGTATTGATGCGGTGCTGCCCAGTTTTCTATTTCTATGTTCCGATACTTGTTCGGATGTCTTTTCTTTGAATTTCGATCTTATTTTGAGTTATGATATGATTGCTTTGCTTTGTTTATGCTTTCTTGTTATCAGTAACTCTTCTTGTGGACTCGTGCAAGCTTCAGAAAGGTGATTTCCCGCATTATGCGATGTGCGGATTAATTATGCTTGTATAGTTTTGAATATTATACAGGATGCGCATGATATTGGATATGCATGTGATTACTTTCACACGATGCTTTAATGCTTATTATTATTGTGCCCTAATTCTGACTATGTGCTTTATTGATGAAGCTTGCACGAAGTTTTTCGTGTTTCTTTGCTTCGT